GGCGTCCTCCCTCTGCATCTCAAGCCTGAACTCAGATTGATCACATCGCGATCAGCTACCGCTAGCGTGGTTGTGTACAAGACTGCCGCTCCTTTTGGAGTACCTATATGAATTCTGATGCCCTTGTTTGCGCTGATCTAACCTTACTTTTCAGTGGCTAACAAATTCATCGTCCTAAACGGATTGATGTCAGTAAATTGGTTGCAGCTAAATATCAAACCGAGTTGAGTTCAAGGCTAGCTAACATCCCACCGAAAAGTATAGATGGGCACTGGTTGCAATTGCATGGCGCCATGAAAATGGCGAGTTAAGTCGCTCGCAGCTTCGCGAAACGTCCCGCCTATAAACACTGGGTTTCTCCTAGCTCTTTACAACTAATTGAAGCCCGTCGGTCTACTCAGGGTGACCGCGAGTTTGACCACAAACGACGACTGCTACGCAATGAAATTGGGCAAGGCTTACGTAAGGACCGGGAAACCTGGCAGTCAGAGGGTGCCAATGACTTAGAAGCAGCAGCTGCATCTGGTAACTGCCGGGAGCTCTTTCAACTTATCCGAGCCATTGGCATACCTCCAAATGCCCTGGTATGGTTAAGAGTGGGGAGGGCTCTCACATGGCCACGTGCATACAACCACTGCCTTATCGCGGCATTACTGTTGTTTAAAAAATTCAGAGGACGAAAAGCAGAACTCCAGCATTTTAACAGGGAGTTCACCTGGGGGAGTTGGGAAACCCTGATTTCAAACCAATGGTGCACATGGGTTCCAGTATCCCGAGGGAACAGATTGCGTATGAACCAATTTTTGGTCACCGGCTACCACGGGACTGCATCTCTTTACGATGCTCCACTGCCTTGTGGATCAGACCTTTCGGTCGAAGGCTCGGGGTGTGGCCCCCTAAGAAAACCACCTGAGATGACAATCATTTCAGGAAGTACTATGCTCACTTCAATTAGAATTTAGACATTCCACATTCATTTCATAACACTCATTTTTATTATTATTACTATTTTTTATATACTACGGTATGGCTGAGATGTATCTGGTGCCCCCTTGTACCAATGTTTATGTTCAAAATAAATAAAGAGCTATTGGGAGCAAGAAGTCTGACGTAGGCGAAACAAACCGTGAAGATGAAGGGTTGCCAATCACTAACATTTATCGACTTCTTGGACGATGGGCAGTTCAACTGGTCTGCTGCCCCGTCAACATCAATCAGACTGCCCTGTCCTTCATGACCTGTGACGACTGGTCCACCAAATGAGGCGGAATTCCGCAAGGAACTCCAACTCTTGGAGCGCTACAAATCACCGGGCCTAGATGACTTACATCCGGATCTTTTTAAAGATGGCGGTGACCTTCTAGTTAAGGAACTGACAACGTTGTTTACAATGGTCTGGGGACTAGAGAGTGTTCCAACATCGTGGAATGAGTCGATAGTTGTCCCTATCTTTAAAAAGCGTTCACCTCGTTTCTGTAAAAACTATCGGCGGATAAGTCTACTTCCGATTGCGTCCAAACTATTGGCTTCTGTCATACGTTGTAGGTTGTTCAGAACTTGAGAAAGATTAACTCGCGAGGAGTAGGCTGGTCTTCGATCTGGTCGAGGATGTATTGGTCATATCTTCACCCTCCGCCAAATGTTAGAACACCGTCATACTTATCAAAGGCCAACAATCGTAGTGTTTCTTGATATCAGGGCTGCCTTCGATTCGTTGGACAGGATTGTTCTTTGGAATTGTCTATTGAAGAAGGGTGTGCCTGAGAAGTTTATTAACACCTTAAAAGCTCTATATACAAACACCTCAGACAGAATGAGGGCATACAATCACCTCTCCATTGTTCCATGCAAGCAATGGAGTTAAGCAGGGTTGCCCAATCTCACCATTCCTCTTCAACCTTACTATTGACAACGTTCTGGAAACAGCTCTGATGGATGTAAGTAATGGCGGTGTGGATCTGTTGCCTAGAGAAAGACTTCTCGATCTTGAGTATGCGGACGATATTGTCTTACTGTGCGATAATGCCCAAGGCATGCAATCCGCACTTAATCAGTTGGCAATCAGTGTCCGTAAGTATGGTATTTGCTTCGCATCTTCGAAGTGCAAAGTACTTCTACAAGACTAGCAGGACCTTGATCCTGCACTCACCCTGGATAGTGAGCAGATAGAAGTAATCGAAAAGTTCGCGTATCTAGGTAGCTGTTTAAGTGCTGGTGGTGGCGTGAGTGATGAGATCAATGCACGAATAGTGAAAGCCAGAGCGACTTATGCCAATCTGGGTCACCTTTGGCATCTCGTGATGTTAGTCTGGCTGTAAAACGTCGGACCTAAAACGCGTCGGTGAGAGTAGTTTTGCTCTATGCTTGTAAAACCTGGCCCCTTCGAGTTGAGGATGTTAGACGGTTCTGTGTTTGATCATCGCTGTCTCCGAAGGATTGCTGACATCCAGTGGCAACACCATGTTAGTAATGCAGAGGTTCGGCATTGTGTATTCAGACACAGTGACGATAATACGATTAGTGTCACTATCTTGAAATATCGACTTCAGTGTCATGTACATGTCCTACGAATGTCGTCCCAGAAAATTCCTCTTCGTGCATTATTTGCCGACATTGGGAGTGGTTGGAAAATAGCGGAGAGGTAGCCAGTGTATGATATGGTGTCGTGGTGTGAAAGAAAGCTGCAAAGGCCTGGCTCCTGTTGGTCCTTCACGTTTCCCTGGCTGGGGTCCGAGAGATGGTGCAACACAGTGGCTAAAGACGTTATCAGATGCGGCTCAAAATAGGAACCAGTGGTGACTCTGCTCTAACGTTATTTTACTTTCTTCATAAAAAATGACGTAACTTCTTTGACTGGAAGAATTCTCCCTGGCTGTACTTTTGTAAACTGAACTGCCTCTTCCATTATTATTTCACTATCATACACTAATGTCTGTTCGTTATTGTTCCCCTTTTTCTTATACACACCTTACATTCTTTATCTCTTCACATTCTCATTATTATTGTGTGATGCATATGTATCTGGTGCTCCTTTGTAGCAATATTTATACGTTTAAATAAATAAATAAACCAGCCATTATAAATAAAAAAAACTGAGTCCAGGAGGTTAATTTGTGCTCCTAACTAAGTGAATCTCTTTTAATAACAACAGAATAAAAAATAGATTTAATAATTTAGAACGATGAGATGGTCCCGGTGAAGTTGACCGACTGAGCGAAACGATATTGCATTAGCAGTCTGTCTCCACTAAGTCAATTTTAAATTCTACTAAACCTAATGTTTTCAATTTGTTTGATGAACATGTCAGATATGCAGTTAAGTAGTCCACAATTTCGAAATCAGTCAGTCAGGAACAACGTAGAACTTCGTACGTACGTACATCAGTTCGAGTTGCCACACCACATTAGCACAGAGATGCAGTTGTCGATTCAAATCCCGTAATCGTAGAGGTAGTAAGAGTATAAGCAGTAATCGGGAAGATTAGGGTTTGGAGATGTTATTTAAAGAGTATAATCCAGTGAAATAAATTTGGAAAGAGGAAAAAAGGGACATGAAGAATTCAGAAGATTAGAATTTGGGAGAACACAGAGAGTGGATGCACCTGCGCCATTGCAAACGATTTTGAGCCATGTCATTCAGGGTCTATAACCATCGGTTGCTATCATCTCGCGGTCCCCAACCAGGTAGTCTACACTTACCAACATGACTCAGTTCACTTGTCAGTGACTTCATGAACTTGTGCCATGTTTTGGTTTGGCCGCCCCTAGCTTTCTTCCAACCTACTCCTATACCACTGAACATAGCACGTCGAGGTAGTCGGTCGTTGGGCATACGTAACACGTGTCCCAGCCATCTCAACTGATGAAGTTTCACTACTTCATCAATTGATTTGCCATCCTTACCTAGTACCCGTTTCCTAACAACTGTGTTACTTACTCGATGGTCCCATGATATACGAGCAATGTTTCGAAGACACCTATGATCAAATACTAGTAGCCTACGGATATCCTCTACTCTTACCGGCCATGTTTCACTGCCATAAAGTAGGACGGGACGAACTGCTGCGCAGTAAACACGTCCTTTGGTTGATAGACGGATATCTCGCCTACGCCATAAATGACGCAAGTTGGCAAAAGCTAGTCGAGCCTTCTGTATCTGTGCTGAGATTTCGTCACACACCAAACCACAAGGGCTGATGAGACTTCCAAGATAAGTGAAGCGGTCGACACACTCAACTACTTCACTCCCTATCATTAGTTCGGGTGTCGATGTAACCCAATCCTGAAGCAACATTTTGCATTTCGAGGGAGAGAATCGCATCCCGAACATGCTTGGATTGTTGCTTAGAGTGGTCAGAAGACTCTGCATTTTGTCAGCGTCTTCACCAAATAAAACTATGTCATCTGCATATTCTAAGTCAACAAGTGAACCTCCCGGTACAAGATCAACCCCTGTAAATTTAGATGAGGAGAGTGTTATCTCTAAAAGTACGTCGACCACAAAGTTGAACAAGAATGGGGAGAGTGGACAGCCCTGACGAACACCACTTGAGGTAATCAATTCTGATGACAGTTCGCCATAAGCTCTTACTCTACCAGTTGTGTTCGAGTAGAGAGCCTTTATAAGGTTAATGTACTTCTTTGGTACTCCTTTCAGTGACAAACACTGCCATAGAACCTCACGATCAACAGAGTCGAATGCCGCCTTAAGGTCGAAATCGTCCGCTATAAAAGGCAGTCATTTACGGATGGCATCTCGAAGCTGTTTTAAATCAATGAGGTATTTAGGACATGTATGGAATATTTAAAAAAATATAAATCTTAAAGAAACAAGTATCTTTCACTTCACATACACGGGATTTCTGTATGCCATCAGGTGATACTAGCTACAGTGAGGAAATAAAATCCTCAGAAAAATCACCCGAAACTGTTTACAACAAACCAGTCCTATATAACCCAACCTCCTTAACTCTACATTTCAACAAGGTAAAAAGGAATGGATTAATCGAAAGACAAAATTTTGCAGGACAAGCATTTTCATTTTATCGTTATGAATATATAAATAAATAATATGTACAAATGCAATGTTTCATTTTGTCGCCATCTAAACAGAATAAGATTAATGAAAACATGGTCGCTTACTCTGAACTGCTCTTCTATATTCGAGATCTCACTTATAAGATCTTTCAGAGCAGAAACGAAAACATCTACAGGTGTCGCCGGATGAGCTGTATGTACTCGAATGACGATTTTGTGCTCTAATGGATGAGGAGCTTTGTATCCTGCAAATAATACTCTTGGATCTTTTAGTAACTGGCTAAATTAGGAAAACAGAAAAAAGGACAAGTTTGAAAGAACGTTTAATTCAAGAAATAAAATAATTCCTGAATATCCACTGTAACTAGTGGGAGACAGTAGAAACTAAGGAGTAAAATAGCGACCTTTAGTTATGGGCGGTGACACTGGTATCTCAATAGAAACAAGTGATAGGTAGAATGATGGCAGTTGCATTATTTTTAGCAGCAAAGTAAAAGTCAAGCGTTAAATGGTAAAATGAATAAGATGAAAACCAAAAGTCCTTAAAGAAAAGATAGTGAGTAGGGAACTGCCTGAAATTTATGGAAGAATAAGGCTAATATGCACACATACAAGTAATTAATTTGTGCATGATCGACTGAGCCTTTTACCTTCCTTTTATCAAACCTATACCTTTCAGCTTGGATACTTAAGTCTAATTTTAGTTTTAATCTAGTCACTCCACAGTTTTATGGCATTATGTTTACTCGTGATCTTTGTATGAATTCTGGATGATCTTATACTTTACATAACTTGTGCCATAATAGAATTAGAAAGTCAATTAGATGCCTCATACAAATCCTTTAAAATCCACTAACTTTATTCTGAACTGCACTGGTGTTTGTTAGTTTATTATGGCTCTTCAGTTATAGTCCTAAAGATCGTGGCACTTGCGACGTAGTCAGATATGGTTTTAAACAGAAGTTGGTGGAGATTCTATTATCATTTTCATCACCGTTCTCATAACAGCTCAAAGTTAACAGTTATTTTGAAGGTGTAGTCGAACTGTACTAGCTTGATGATAACTCTATAGGAACTAACTTGTTTGCTTACACATAAAGTAAAATAGATCTCCAGCCTATCAACTATTATCAGTAATTACTTTCCCCAAATATGTTGTTTTACTCGATTAGATAAGGATCTAATAAATAGTGATTCATAAAACCGAGTAAAAAATGTCATACTGCCTGGATTTAAAGATAGTATGGAATGGTGAATTATGTATAGTACTATATACAGAAAAACAGATGTGTCAAAAAGCACCGCATGACGAAAATCACTTTAAGTTGCCAAGCTTCTCAACGCAAAGAGAAGACAGGAAGATATTAAAATGAACAGATAGGGAAGAACTGCATTGACAGTTTACACTCTATTACACATCTAACACCAATGGTTAGCGACTTTATTTAGTAGTAACATGTTTCAGCTTGGTGATATTTGATACAAGTCCAAAACCTAATCGATGAAATAACCTATCTCCTCTGCGATTGAGTATAACGTAGATAATAATATTCATGAAACATACCTTCACACAAAAGTAATCTTGTTGAAAGTCAGTAATCAAATGCGGATTCACATGTCCAATTATAAACTACACTCTGTATGATGAATAGTAAGTATATCTGGATGCCAGAACGAGGCTAAGCGGGACAAAGTTTGAACATGCAATTCAGTAACCGGGAGTTGGTCGACCTAATCACTAACTTATTATACTACCGATGGTTTATATCCCACTTATGGTGAAAATGATGTACTAAAATTAGCCGTATACCCGGCGAAAGCAATCATTTCTACAAACCACTTTTAAGAAAGGCAGCAAAACGAAAATGAGTCCGAATAATGTGAAAACATTGGTGAAATTCCAATCTGCCTGGTAGACAATAAGATCAAAATGTCTGTATGATACTTACGCCTGGACTGAAACACTTTCAAATAAAGTTGAAAAAAGGAATTACTTATAACAAGAATACCAGAAAGTTCTGACTAGTGAACTGAATCAAATAAACATATCTTAAAAACTTCATGGGTGTAGAAACGAAATAACCACGAAATTATTCGGATCGGATAATTGTTATTTCACAGTCCATACCACCAAAGTTTAGTTTAATATGTATTCACTACCGAAGCTTGGAATTTTATGAATAATAACATGACTAAGTAGCTATCTTTACATACCACACTTAACCATACTCCGGAAAATAAAGTTCAGCTAACTGCATTGAGAACTCTACCTAGATCGAATAATCAGTAAACTTCCTGCAACACATAGCAGTCATTTTAAAAAGCATATATGTACTCAATATACTATTAAAAAACACACCATGTTATCATATTTCCAACAGTGTGATCCTCTCGATTTAGGGTAAAAATGGCAGCATTTGGAACCTGAGTATCCTTTTCGAAGGAGATCCTGCAAGTGTAATAATGTGTCAAAGACCCACTTCTTCTCACCATCGGCAAGCAGGAATGGTTCGAACGAAGCAGGAGCATTCATAGTAACTCACAACTTCGTAAGTGCGGGTAAACGTACGACCTCCAAACTCTGACTTTTGACTTCGCCTAGGAGGATGTGTGCTGTTTGTTCCTTGGAATCTTTTTCGGGATAGCGTGAATGAGTTCTTGGTTAAAGAGAGATTTTAATCTTGTTGCATTCCTGCTAATAACTGGAGGTAAAAATAATTAAGTCAATAAGTGATCGATTAGTGATATATAATAATCTCCATTAGTACCTGCAGGAATAAAATGGTCGTTAGGGTTTCTTTGGAAAGCAAACATGGCATAGCTATGCAGCGTTTGACAAGGCTGCTGTCAGCAATACACTTGGAACTAGTGAAACGCCACGAGCCTCAGACAAATTATCCGTCAGGCTGAATATTGCAATCAGCCTTCGCACAACAGGTACGATGGAACGCTACAGATCGAGAAGAAACACGTGTATAATTAATATTTGGTAAGCTCAAAGAAAATATGAAACGCAGTTGGCACAATCTGCACTCAAGCAGACTGAGAAAATATTCTCGTACATAAACTACGGAACCAGGGTGCATCATTGGATTCCCAACCTAACTAAAGAAAGGAGTGAGTCTGAAATGATAGAGGAAGATCAGGATAAAGCAAAGGCTATGACTGACTATTTTTGGCAGTTTTCACTCAGGAACCTCCCCTAGACAAAGAACCAGACCAAAATAAAGAGTCAATAAACCACCTGCTCACCGTGGACCTCAATCAAGACGATGTACTTAAGGCCTTTAGCATCTTGAACATGTAAAAGTCAACAGGAACAGATGAACTACACCCCAAAATATATCGCGGCTCCACTAACTGTGATACTCAACACGTCACGTGACCAAGGTGTGCTACTTATGGATTGGAAGGACGCAATCGCCACTCCCACACATAAAAAAGGACCAAGACAACTTCCATCGAACTACAGACCTGAAAGTCTCATCAGTGTTGTAGTTAAAATATTGGAAATAATAGTCAAAAGGACAATAATGGCATTTATAGAAACCAATAACTTGTTAAACAGATAACAACATGGTTTTAGAAAGGGTTTATCTTGTACAACTAACCTTCTTATAGCAAGGGAATTTTGGATAAAGACAGTAGAATGTTGTCTACATACACTTCACTAAGGCTTTTGATAAAGTGCCAACTAATAGACTGCTATTGAGGTTAGAAAATCCTGATATTGCCGGACCTCTATTAAAATTACTTGAAGATTTCCTAGTAGGTCGTAGACAGAAAGTAAGCATAAATTCCAAGTGCTCCATCTGGAGACCAGTACTTCGTGGAGTATCTCGAGGTTCCGTCCTAGGTCCTTTACTTTTTATGCTGTATGTAAATGATCTTCCAAGTACAGTACAGTCCCCAATGTTATTATACACTGACGATGTAAAAATCTGGCGAGTAATAAGTGGAGACACAAACGCATACGTACTTCAGGCAAACTTAAATAATATGGTTAACTGGTCTAAAGAGTGGCTAATACCTATTACTGCGGCAAAGTGTGTCTACATACACTTTGGGGATACAAACAATAAAAGATACAGTTTAAGGGAAGTTCCAGTACCAGTGGTCCGGTCTCATAAAGATCTTGGGGTAACAGTGAGTCATGATCTTAAGACGACGGCCCACTGACAGGAGGTCTCAGTTAAGTGGTTTAGAACCCACTGTGCTTTAAAAACGAACATTCAGTAAGTTAGATACCACCATGTTCACTATAGCATACACAACATCAGTGAGAACTAAGCTTGAGAACTGTGTTCAAGCTGCAAGTCCCTGTTTAAAAGGTGATTCGTATATACTGGAAAAAGTACGGAGGGCAGCTACCCGTGCAATTTCAGAATCATGAGATTTGCCATAGAAAGAGAAACTTGAAAAGCTGGACCTCTTTACTCTGTCCTACCGCAGACTAAGAGATCTAATTTTGATGTACAGAATACTAAGGAATGATCTTGGACCTAACTTACTCTCTTTTTCTTCCTACTAGATCGGGACATCTCAGAGGACATAGCAGGTAGTATAAAAGTCAAGAACGAACAAATTACCCATGGCATACAGGTTCTCACACGAGTTCATTAATTTTTGGAACCTGTTACCCGAAGCAGTGATGTACGCACCTCCAATTGACTCATCCGAGAGAAGACTGGACACACAGAAGCATGCTAGAAAAGGAATAACATAGGCCTTAGGCCTGTAGTAGCATTGGGCCCTAACCATACAATCTTCAAAGCTAAACACAGGCTAATAATGGAGTCCCATTATTTCGGCGATACTTCTTGCAGCTCAGTTCTCCCCCTGACATATTGAAACAATTGTTTCTTTCGTCCCTTTCGAGTTGCTTGAGTAGTTTCTTCTTATTTTAGCAGATCTCCTAGGGCTTGAATACTGTCGCCATGTGTTATCTAGAATTCATACGTCAATACCTTAAAAGAAGACGTTAATACATAATGTTATATCATTTTTTCACGGATTTTTTAAGCTCTGTTTTCAGCTTGCACACGATTGAGTGGTAATCCGAAGCCGTGTCAACCCCTTTTTTGTCCTTATGCCATCAGTGAACATTTCGAATTCAATATTGATATAAATATGAGCGATGTCTCTAATGTGGTTCAGTGAACCTTAATGAGCTTAGTTTTAGCATTTTTGGTGGATTATAGTGCCACCTATTATCATTTTTGTGGTTTTTGGGTGAACTGATGATTCTTTTGTGCTTGTTGAATGCTCTATTTCGAACTCCAAATACAGTACATTCGTTCGTGCTTATCTAGTACTTCTCGATTCAATTGCGTTATTTCTGGGATTCTTAATTTATACTACAAATCGAATACTCCTAATCATCATACCGGCGTCGCGATGGAGCCTGCGATGAAACAGACCTTCATTCAACTTCTGAAGCTTTTGAGGATTATCTGGAAAAGTTTGAAATCTAGAGTATGACTAAGAAAGATGTTAAAGGTGATAAAATCGTGGCACATTTCCTGACATTCATCGGAAGAGAGGAGTATAGATTAGTAAAAATTTTGGCACATCCAGAAAAACCTATCTCACTTCCTTATGCAACTCTTAAGGACTTACTTACTCACGCCTGTTACTCCCCGTGGAGGAGTATAGGGCGCCCACCATTATTCTCCATCCAACCCTGTCCTAGGCAATCCTCTCCAGCTCCTTTCAGTTGTTATTCATCCATTTCATATCTGCTTCTATTTCCCGACATAACGTGTTCTTTGTCCTTCCTCTTTTCCGCTTCCCTTCAGGATTCCAAGTTATGACTTGACTCGTGATGCAGTTTGATGATTTTCCTAATGTATATTCTATCCGTTTCCATCGTCTTTTACTACTTTCTTCTTCAGCTAGAAGCTTGTCTGTTCTCTCCCACAGAAGGCTGTTGCTGATGGTATCCGGCAAATAGATGTTGAGTATCTTGCATAGACAGCTATTTATGAATACTTGTACCTTCTTGATGCTGGTTGTTGTAGTTCTCCAAGTTTCAGCTCCGTACAGTAGAACTGCCTTGACATTCGTATTGAAGATTCTCACTTTGATATTGGTTGAAAGTTGTTTTGAGTTCTATGTGTTCTTCAGTTGTAGGAATGCGGCCCTTGCTTTTCCAATCCTCTCCTTTACGTCTGCATCGGATCCTCCTTGTTCATCGATGATGCTTCCCAGGTATGTGAAGGACTCTACATCTTCCAGAGTTTTGCCATCAAGAGTGATTGGATTGCTGTTCTCCGTTTTGAATTTGAGGACCTTGGTTTTCCCTTTGTGTATGCTGAGGCCTACTGATGCATAGACTGCTGCTACACTGGCTGTCTTCATCTGCATCTGTTCGTGTGTATGTGATAGGAGGGCTAGGTCATCTGCGAAGTCCAAATCGTCTAATTGATTCTGAGCTGTCCATTGTATTCCGTGTCTTCCTTCAGATGTCGAGGTCTTCATAATCCAGTCGATCACCAGAAGAAAGACGATGGGGGAGAGTAAACAGCATTGCCTGACTCCGGTCCTTACTTGGAATGCATCTGTCAGCCGTCCTCCATGCACTACTTTGCACTGTAGTCCGTCGTATGAGTTCCGGATAATATTGACAATCTTCTCAGGAACTCCATAGTGTCGAACAAGTTTCCACGTTTTTCTCCAATTTACACTGTCAAACGCCTTTTAATAATCAGTGAATGTGATGTATAGTGATGAATTCTACTCAACTGATTGTTCGACGATGATCCGTAGTGTCGCAATTTGGTCTGTGCACGACCGATCCTTACGGAATCCATCTTGTTGATTTCGAAGTTGGGCGTCTACTGCATCTTTCATCCGGTTCAGCAACACTCTGTTAAAGGCTTTCCCTGGTACTGACAGTAGTGTGATGCCTCTGTAGTTTTCACATTTGCTCAGATCTCCTTTCTTTAGAATCTTGATGAGGTGTCCTTCTTTCCAGTTCATCGGCACTTGTTCCTATTCCCAAATATCCTTGAATAAAAGGTGAAGCATGTTTGTAGTTACTTCGATGTCTGACTTCAGTGCTTCAGCTGGTATGTTTTCGGGTCCTGCTGCTTTCCCGCTCATGATTTGTCTGATGGCCATTTTGATTTCTTCTGTCGTTGGTGGAATGACATCTATAGGAAGATCTGTGTGTGTTGCTTCGATGTCCGGTGGATTCGTTGGAGCCGGCCCATACAGGAGTTCCTCGCTGTTGTTGAATTTCAGTGATTGGCCTGTCTTCTTTGTCTTTGACCGGTCTCTCTGGTTTACTATATTTCCCTGCTAGTTTCTTTGTTGTATCGTAAAGCTGTTTCATATTTCCTTCTCTAGCTGCTCTTTCCGCCGTCAATGCTATTTCTTCCAATTATTTCATCTTGTCGGCTCTAATGCTCTTCTTCACTTGCTTGCTTCATTCAACCCTTAAGAAGCTATTATTAGATCATGTAAAGTGCATTAGTTTTGAATGCCGCGGAAGGGCAAAATTTCGTAAGATGATTCGTTGAAATGACCAAAATGTTAGGGAATTAATCCTTGAATTGCAGAAACAAGCTGTAAAATTTAATTTCGGTGATCAAGTTCATGTGCAACTGAGAGATCGATTAATTGCAGGAATTAACTTGACAGATTTGGAAAGAGAACTGTTAAGAATGCGCAACTGTTTCTTTCAAGGTGCTATAACTGC